GAAAGAACAAGGATGTCCTGCCTGAGTATAACAGAATGTCATGGGTTTAGCCCACACTGGCTTATTCCTGCAATTAACAATCATTAAGCTTTACTCATACGCTATCTCAGTCCAGTTCCTCAATTACTGAGCTGGCTTCTCAGGATTTTCTGGTAATCTATAATAACCATGGTTGTTATTTTGCTTGTATTTGATGTATCAACACTAGCATGAGTTGATTGAAACAACTACTTGGGATTGAAAGTAGTATTCATCTACTTGCCGAATAGCTTACATACTATCCAAGGACTAATAATTGTCTACGTACTTCTCTTTAAAAACCCAATACTTTTGGTATGGATTTAAGCATCCAGGAATGCAAGGGCCCTTTTTCCTAATAACGAGTTCCTGGTGCTGATGACTGTTTGAATGTGACAGAGCTTGTCATCTCTTTTGTTGTAGCAATAGACTTCTATTTATGCAGTCATCTTCAACTCAGGTGACATGAATAGAGTATCCAGTTCTTCTATTAAAGGAGAAATAATTTGTAAGTTATAGCAGTTATTTCTGAAGTTCATGATAAGTTTTAGTATCTTTGTAAATGAATGAGTGACAGGAGCATGCAGATGTGCTTACAGAAGACCAGACACTGGTTCCAGAAATAAACATTGGAACTTTAATCAATATTTAGGAATATACATATATATTCATATGCATTAAGCATGCAATAGCAATTATTTAAAAACAATGTTATGGATCTGAAGGAGAGTGGGGACATGTATATGAGAGAAGGTGTACTTTGTGGAAAGAAAGGGAAAGTGGAAATGTTGAGATTATATTATAATCATAAAAATTTTTAAAAACATGGATGCATATACAGCATACAATTAAAATGTTCTCTCTCAACTTTCTGGTTTGTTCTACTAAATATATGTTTTCTTTGTTCCTTTAAAATTGCTAATTATTTTGGCATTAAAAAGAGGCTATTGTGGAAAAAAAGAAATGCTTTTATTCTCTCTCAAAGTTAATACCAGGGCTATAAGAAGATAGTTAATGTAAGAAAGTAATTCTAGTTTCTAGACAATTTTGAAACACTTCTCTTTGGTTTCTACACAGAGTCAGAATATAATATTTTTACCTCAAAAGAGAACAGTGCTGTCTACCTGCTTGATACACATCATTATGTAAACATTATTTATAATAAAAAACTGGGGTATAGTTGGCTTGTTTCTTTTTGATGAATTCACTTCACAATGATTATATAAGGCTTGTCCCTGAAGTTAATCCTATAAAAATTCAGCTTTAAAAAAAAATGTAGCTGAATACAAAGGAGATTTATTCTTTGATCTTTTACCACCAATTCTTATAGCTTACTTATTAACAATAATGATGATGTTGTTTTACCTATTTTGAAAATGGTTTATAAGAATGAAAAGAAGAAAAATGAGGTTAAAGTCATTTAGAACTAATAAAAATGTACTTACCTTGTATAATTTTACTATAATGGAGATTTCATTTATGCTATTATTTTAAAACAAATGGAAGATTTCTCAAAATATTTTAAAGGAATACTGAAAAAATTTAAAATTTATATTTTTCAGATTTTTCATATACATGAATATCAATTTACATGTGAGTAAATGTGTTTTAAATGCTGCTACTCTGTGACCTGTATCCTTCAAACTATCAAATGCATAGGGATAATTAAAAGTTTACTATTTCATTACTGTTTGCATCTAACCTCTGTTGTTATTTCTTTTAAAATATGATAGAAACAAATGAAAATTAAAACAAATAAATTCAAACAGGAAAGCAAAAGCCAGAGTGTTTTATTTGGAGATAGTGTTGACTCTAAGGATGCAGGCAGCTCTTGTTATCAATCACTAAGGTAAACTGAAGTTTATCCCAACAAAGAATATATAGTGTGTCAATGAAGATGAAGAAGACAGCCACTTCACTTTGGGAAAAAAAAGCAACTGAGGGTCAAAGCCAATATTTCCTGTGCTAGGAAAGGCTCTACCACTGAAATATATCTAAAGGTTCCACTCCCTCATAGTTAGGAATCAGAATATGCTAACCAAAATCTAACTTGTGACTTAATAAATTTACTTTCACATACACTATTTTTCAAAAAGGAAAAATAAATAAATTGGAAGCATTATTTGAGGAGAATGACATATGTAGAGTGTTATTACTTTAAGTCTTTGCTCCTTTACTTTCTCAAAGGAGAATGAGATGCTAGGTTTAGTGGCCACATAGTGGTGTTCTTGGGCAGAGACTATGTTCCTATAATCACTAAATATGCACTTTCATGTCTTTCTTTCTGTTTTAGAGAGTTTTCTTTTGAATAAAGGACCAATAGTAGGTCTAATGTAGATGACAACAACTAATTTTACCAAATAATGTCATAACCCCTTTATAAATATTAAATATATACGTAATAATATACATGTTCAAATACAGACAGAGACATGGACTGAGCTATCAAAAGAACATTTTTGTAATTTTGAATGCAAGAAAGAGAGGGCAGATATATAATACAGATTGCCAACAGAATATCTAGTTGAGAAGAGTTAAGTTACATCTTAAAATCAAGATCTGTGTAACAGTATTATGTAATATACGCATTTAACCTGTTATGTAAATTTTTAACTTAATTTATTTATTTTTAATAAATCATTGAGATGAAATTTTGGTATGCTTTTTAGTGGCTACATATGAATTTACTCTTTTTGACAAATAAGTTAATAAATATATAACTTCTGCATTAGTCAGGATTCTCTAGAGTCACAGAACTTATGGAATATAGTTCTCTATATATTAAGGGAATTTGTTGTGATGATGTAAAGTCTGTAGTCCAACTACCCCAACAATGGGCAGCTGTGAATGGGAAGTCAAAAAAAAACTAGCACTTACTCAGTTCCATGAGGCTGGTCTTCTGTAGGTTCCAACAGATGTGCTGGCAAGTAAAAGCAAGCAGGCTAGAAGAGAGAATCTTCCTTCTTCCATTGTCCTTATGTAGGTCTCCAGCAGAAGGTGTGGCCCAGATTAAAGGTGTGTACCACCATGCTTGGATCTGGGCCTTGCTGTGTCCAAGGCTAACCTTGAACTCAGGGATCTCCTTGCCTCAGTTTCCTGGGATTAAAAGCGTGTACTATTTTATCTGTGCCTAAGCTTTGCATGGTCACTATGGCTCAAGATCTCCTCCATGGCAAGATGCAGGTCAGAAACTTGTGTCTCCCAGCCTCCAGATCTGGATCACAGGTGAGCCCTCCAATTCTTCAGCAAGATTTTAGCACCAGGCTCTGAGTGCTACCAATAGCTCATAACATTAGGAAGTGTATGTAATCATTTTGACTAACAATAGCAAAATCTGTTTTTCTCTGGTGTCAGGTAGGGACATTGCCATCCCTTCACATTTTAACACAATTTAGACTCTTCTTATATATGTATATATTTTATGTAGCATTAATAGTAGTAAATATACATATGGTTATTTCTACAGGTGCTTAGTTACTTCACCCCATTCCTCTTTTTTACCTTGCTTTCCCGTTTCCACCCTTAACACTTCTTATTCCATTGTTCTGCATTTCTCCTTAATACTATTCATGTTTTATCCATGCCCCCATTATGCCTTACAAACATCCAAACTCTATAAGTATTCTAATTTCTTAGCATTTGCATATTAATGAGAACATAGGATGTTTGTTTCCCTGGGTATGAATCAGCTCAATCAGACATATTTCCACCTCCATCCATTTACAAAATTCATGATTTCAGTTTTCTTAACAGCTGAATAATACCTATTGGGTAAAAATGTACAATATTTTCATTTTCCATTTATGAGTTGATGAACATTTAGTTTGTTTTCATTTCCTGAATATTGTGACTACAATTGCAAAGAATATTACTAGTATCTCTATAGTAGGCTATAAAATCATTTGGAAATATGCCTAAGAGTGGTATAGCTATATCATCCATTTCCTGATAACTAAGGTTATTGAATGTTTAAAGAACATATAAATAAAGTTTATCAGCCAGTGTAGTTCTCTCTCTCTCTCTCTCTCTTTTTTTTTTTGAGAGAGAGCTCTCAGCTTAGTTCTGTATGCTTAATTTTTAATTGTTTTGTGTATTTATATTCCAAATGCTGCCTCCTTTCCTGGTCCTCCCTCCATGAGTTCTTTACCTCCTCCCTCCTCCCCTATGCCTCTGAGTGGGTGCTCCCCACCCTATACCCCGCTGGTCCATCCCCTGTCCACACCCCCTACATTCCCCTTCAGTGTGGCATCAAGCTCCTACAGGATTAGAAGCATCTTCTTCCACTGAGGCCAGACAAGGCAGTCCTGTACTACATATGTGCCAGGAACTATGGACCAGCCCATGTTTGCTCTTTGGTTGGTGGCTTAGTCTCTGGGTTCTCCCAGGGGTTCTGGTTACTTGATACTGTTGTTCTTCCTATGGGATTGCCATCACTTTCAGGTCCCTCAGTCCTTCCCCTTACTCTTCCACAGGGGTTCTCTTTCGAAGGGTCAGCTCTAAGTATCTACATCTGTCTCAGTCAGCTGCTGATAGAGCCTATTTTTAACTGGTTGTTGTTCTTGTTGTTTTGTTTGATACTTAGTTTATTAACTTTTTTGTATATTGTAGAAACTTACACTACTTAATCAATAGCTGGTAAAGCTAGCTTTTCATTTTATAGTCTGATATTTAATACTGACTTCGCTATTCTACTCTATGGAACCTTTTTACTTCAGCAGATCACCTTGACTTCTGCATCTAAGCTATCCTTCAAATTACCTAATTGTTGATTTTGCTGCAATGGAAGAGATCACAGGTCTAACCTGTTAGAAGACTGCTACATTCTGTTTAAATGGTGTTTTTCACCATTGGTAATAAGAAGGTCCTAGGGCCTCAGAAAAGGAAAGGGGACATTATATAATTATACTTTAATTTTTAAAATTAAACAGTATATAATTAAACATTTTCATTTTGTCAAATTATAAGCAATAAAGAAATATGCCCCTACCCATAAAAGTGTTGTGGATGTGGCTGCTGTGTCACGAGTGCATCAGTAGGTGGCAGAGAGGGAGAGGCCACGTCTATGTTCAGTGTTCTGATCTAAGAAAATCTTGCCAATTGATAGTTTAACATTCCCTGAAGAAACAAACATGAGAAGATCACCATTCTAGTGTCAGGGGCTGGGGCAGGAAACTAGCCTGAGACAATCACCAGTCTGGTGCTACACAGGCCATGATGGCTCCCAGGACAGAGAGCTAGCAAGAGACTAGAAGGAACGTGCATAGGACTGAGAGTCTAAGTGGGAATAAGCTCAAGAAAGAAGATTCTCAAAAAGAGCCACTTGGGTGGGTTCAGGAAGGATCCAGACTCATGCCATGTGGCTTGGACAGGGAGCTATCCTGAGACAACCACCAGTCATGTGCCACAGAGGACCAGGTGACCCATGCCTAGTGCCACAATGCATGAGAGTAACATAACACTCAGGAAACTACTCCTGAGTCAACCCCAGACACTCCGAGACCCAGTTTCCACTAAGAGGAGCAAGTAAATGGTGGGAAAAAATGGAAGAGAAAGAGAAACAGAAGGATGTAGGCAGGACTGGAGATTTTAGGGTAGAGAGGAACAGCCTGATATGAGTAGTCGGTGATGACACTTGGGACCATGGTGAAGTCCTGGCCTGTGTTGCCACTGTGAACCATACCTACATCAATGTCCCCTACAGCAGCAGGGGTCTGGTAACACTAAAGTCGAAGCAGATGTCTCTGGTCTGGACTACTGCTCAAGGATGTACTGTTGTCTAAGGGCTATGCAGAAATGGCCCCATCATGGTCCCTGGAACATGAGAACAAGGGAGCTGAACCAAGCCCTAGTCAGCTGCAGTATTTATGAGAGAAGGCCCCATGCACTGCAGTTTTGAGTGAGCCACACCCAAGGTTAATAGAAAACCTGGCCTTGTCACTCTTCTCCTCTGAATTAACATGGACAAGGGGAGAGATACCCTCTTCCTGCTCCCTCTCATTACCTGTGACAGGTGGGAAACCTGATTTTGAGATCATAAGTTGAGGAGAGCTCTTTCTATACCTCCCATGCTCCAGCACTTGGAAGAATAGGCCTTGCACTTCACCTGGGCAATGCAGTATATCTGACTCTCTTGGCAGCCGATTGAGTGAGGTGTGAGTGTGGGAGAACTGGCCCCAAAACTTACCTACCATGTGGTGACATGGACAAAGGAATGTTGTTCCCCACCCACTCCTTGCCACCAACGGCTGGCAAAAGAGCAGGTCCCAAGGTCATATGAGCAAGAAAGCTTGCCTTGAACCTGGTCATTGTGACTCATGTGGGCAACACAGTAGAACTGACCCTAGATGGTGGTCATGAAGGTGTGAGTGTGGGAGACCAGATCCTCCCTCTTCTCTGCTGGGCAGTGACATAGAGGAGGGTGAGATGCCCTCCTCCCCTCTCTCATCCCTTGCCTTCTATGGCTGACAAGAGTGCTATCCCCGGGTTCATGAGAGTGAGACAACTAGCCATGTCCCTGACTGGCTGTAGCACTCAGTAGAGCAAGTCCTGCACCTCACCTGATCAGCAGGATAGATCTACCCTGGTGGCAGGCGCTCCTGGTGAGCCAGCTCCAAGGGTATGAGAGTGGGAGAGACAGTGGGCTGACCAGCTCGGATACCTCTCAGGCCCAAATCCAGGCCTTTGATTTGGCCAACCCAACATCAACGAACTGGTATTGAATCACCATGACACAGGACAACAACAGGAAATTCAAGAGCAGTCTCAGTGAGGTTCCAGCACTAATAGAGTAGTAGAAACCAGAGGCATCAGACCAGACAAATAAGACTTTGCAATGAATATTTGCAAGCAAATCGGTGTAAATAAATGGTTTACTATGAACATACTGTGACACACTACAGCTTCCACAATGAGATTTTTTTTTCTCTACTAAGGGATGTGTTGGAGTGTTGTTTTTGTACACTGTGTGAAGTGTTTTTGTCCTCCCTTGCCTGGCTAAGACACATTCTGATTTGTTAAAGTATAAACCCTAGAGCCTATAGCAAAAGATGTTATAGTAAGGTGAGATTTCCTAACAGAGAAAAACTCTGGGAAGGAGTCAGACATGGAAGATTCGCCAGCCAGACAGGGAGGAAGAAGGGGTGGGAGGAGGAATTGTAACTAACCAGCCATGTTAGATCAGCATAAACAGAATTATTGAGTCACAAGGTAGTAGGAAACAATGTCTAGTTATAAGGCCAAAAGTTTATAAATAAATCTAGTCTGTTCATGATTATTTGGGAATCGGGGCAGGCACAGACAAGCTCTTTTGGTTACAGTGAGGTTACAAGGCTGGAGGGTGGCTATGAGCAGAAGAGAGATGAGTGGGTTTGGGTTGCATGATATGAGATTTACAAAGAATCAATAAAAACATTTTTTAAAGAAACATGTTATAGAATTTTCACATCCTTGAAAGTGTTCCTTCGTTTTTTAACTTCATTGTTTTATGATTGGAGACAAATTCTAAATGACTTTGTCTTTTACATTTATTGTAATAAATTTTATATGTTATCAATCCTGTTCTGGGTAGAATGCATTCTCTTAGGATTTTCAGTTGTAAGGTTTGTATATATGTTTTGAGCTCTTATTTCCACAAAAGTGTCTTCCTTTTGACTTTTTAAAAGGATTTTTCTGAAATAGTTCTAGGATTTGAAATAGTATTTCCTCAACACTAAACTTATACTGCATGTTCTTGATTGTTAAGAATCTAATGTGAATTTAGAATTCATTCTTAGTCTACTCTGTGGTCCCAAACCTCTGATTGCTGGCTACTCCTATAGTTTTACTTTTATCATTAGGTTTCAGAAGTCCGTGATGGATTTTGCTGTAGTGTGTGTGTGTGTGTGTGTGTGTGTGTGTGTGTGTGTGTGTGTGATGTGTTTATATTGCTTTGACCAAACTTCCCAATAGGTATTTTTTTATCTTCGGGCATTAAGAATTATTGTCCTCATTTCTCTCTTTTTAAATTTCAAATTTGATAAGCCCTTGTCTACCTGAAATCATTTCCTCTAGCTCCAATGTTTTCATTTCATATATGCTTTTGTTATAATAAAGACTCTCTCCATAATTATTCAGGTTTATAAATCTTTGATTTTGCAAAATCTAGATTATAAACTTCTGGGTTTTATTTCTCTTTTACATGTAATTTTTGTACTTTCCTCATTATCTTTTACTTCCCTGAACTTGTAGAACAGAGTACCCATTATTAAAATATTATGTCTGCTATTTTTTTTTTACTTTTATATTTTCTGGTATTATGCTAAATGACTCCCTTTAGATGAGGTGATGTGCTTTCCTATTTACATTTAGGTCAAGAAATTATGAATATTGCATTATTAAACTTGATTTTTATTGTGATCACCTAAAGATTATTGCCTTTTTTTCTTCTATTTGTAACTTTAATGGTCTACTGATCAGGGCTTATTTTTAAGCTCTTTTAAGTTGTGCCTAGAGAAAGTTTATTGCCAGGGCTCATTTGGCTCCAATTTGTAGATAAACCCTCTCTGATGTTACCACTGAAAGCTTGCATGTATTAATCAGAGTCTTTTTTTAATTAATGGTAATTTAATGTTTGGCATTCTGTGATACTTAGAAATCATCCAGCTTATGATAAATCATTCTTTTGATGTCTTACGCTTCTATTTCTTATTAGTTGCCTTTATCTACGTTTGTGGGTCCTTTTCTGCTTAGTATCAGTTTTCTGAGGAATTGGCCAATTCCCAGTGTTGAAAATTAGTAATTTCTCAACATGTGAGTTTATCAGAAGTAGAGACAAAGACATTCAATCTGTATCTTCAAGATTAAATGACCTTCATCTTGCTATAAGATTAACAACTTTGAATTCTGAAAATATAGAAAGAGCATAATAATAAAATATTGATAGATGGTTTTGTGCATTAAATATTCAGATGCTGAATTCTGTACCCAGGGATCTGGGTACAATCTGGACATTGGCATTGGCATGACTACTGAACCATTTCCTGCATTATGTTGTATAATGAATGTTCTCCAGGTATCTGATTGGTTAATAAAGTCTTGAATCAACTATTAGCTGGGCAAAAGCAATAGGACAGAATTCTGAACCCAGTCAGGGGTCCCCAATGAGAAGTGAGATAGGAAGTAAAGGAGATATGGAGAGACATGTGGACGGACCAGGAGGAGAAAGAAGTTACCATGAGGCAAGTGATGAACCATGAATAGTCATCAGAAGACTCTCCATGAGGACACACATAGCACAGAGCAAGCCAGAGCAAGCCTTAGATTGAAGGGTAAGGACCACATGGCTGGGAAATAGGCAGCCTTAGAAGTTTATAATAACTCAGAACTGCCAAGCTTGCAGCTTTTAGTAAATGTATTTGGTCTTCAAGTCATATACTCGGAAGCTAAATTGGGCTAGAGCAAGCTTAGAAATGGCCTGCAGTTATTTGGAAGCAAAAGTAATTTTTTTTTTTTTTAAGCTGGGTGTTGGGGGCAGTGGTCGTAGAGTTTGAGACAGTTATTCTGTGTAGACCTGGCTATCCTGGAATTAACTCTATAGTCCAGGCTGGTCTACAACTCAGAGATCATCACCAGGCTAAATATATTTTTTAAGTCCTGTTTTGAAGGACTACATGAAGAGTCTAAACTCTGTGGAAAGGGATAGGCAACTTCCTTTTTTTTTTTTTTTTTTTTAGATTTATTTATTTACTATGTATACAATGTTCTGCCTGCTTGTACACTTGCAGGCCAGAAGAGGGCACCAGATCTCATTACAGATGGTTATGAGCCATCATGTGGTTCTGGAAATTGAGTTCAAGACCTCTGGAAGAGCAGTCAGTGCTCTTAACTTCTGAGCCAACTCTCTAGTCCCCAGTTGTAGAACACCCTGTCCTAAAAAATACCACTACAATAAACTAGGAAATGACTTTTAGTATCTTTATCAATTTCTACTTCAATTTATGTAGATATGCCATGAGACCAAATAGAAAATAAAATATGTATGCACTGTTTTCAAATTATTATTTATATTGCACCTAAAAGAAAATTCAAGTAGCCATAAAATAGGTAAGATAATTTTGACTTAATCCTCTGATGTGG